AGGATTAAAGATAAACTTTGAGAAAACTAAAATTATAACAAATCTCGTAATGAGTGGAAATATAACTATTGACAATAATACCATACAACAAACAGACACTTACAAATATCTGGGACACGAAATCAAAATAAGCAGAGACAATCAAACACATGAAATACAGAGGCGAATAGGTCTAACATGGGCAGCATTTGGCAAATTAAGCCATATTCTAAAAAGTTCAATTCCCATGTGTCTCAAGCGAAAGGTTTATAACCAATGTGTTTTACCTGTACAAACTTATGGAGCAGAGACTTTAACACTCACGCAAAAATCTGCGAATAAACTTAGAGTTACACAACGAGCCATGGAACGTGCAATGCTGAACGTGAGCCTTCGAGACCACATAACAAATCAACAAATCAGGCGAAGATCAGGAGTTCAAGACGTCATCGAAAGAACCACGACGCTTAAGTGGAACTGGGCAGGGCACTTAGCCAGAACGATGGACGGTGGACAAGACGTATTATGGAATGGAGGCCCAGAAATTATAAAAGAAGCCTAGGACGACCACCGACTAGATGGACCGATGACATTAAACGTGTAGCGGGAAACTGGATACAAGAAGCGGCCCAGTGTAGAGAACACTGGAAAGAACTGAGGGAGGCCTATGTCCAGCAGTGGACGCGATTGGCTGATTGATGATGATATATATATATATATATATTATATATATATATATATATATATATATATATATATATATATATATATATATATATATATATATTATTGAAAAGAGATACAAAAAATTAATGAGTAGGTGGTTCGGCAGCATTTGGAAAACTCTGTATTGGTCCTATATTAATTTGCGAAGAATAAACGGATGGAGACATAAATAGTGAATAGTAGTGATACAATGCAAATTTTTCAGGAAAGTAAGAAATGAAAGAAAGAAAAAGTCTATATAGGTAGAGATACATTTAAGGTTGATTAGATGGACAGAGAAACATAATAAACTACTAAACAGGTATAATATTTTTCTGAAATTATTTTGTGATTTACTGTTTTTAGTGGGAATTAACCACAATTTTAGTTTACAATAAGTTTATTTTGACGTTTAGATTTCCACGGAAATCGTTCTCAAGGTGCCACAAGAAAATAGCTTCAGAATAATATTTTTTGTGATATTTTCGTGTTTACACTAAAATTCTTCAAGAAGTTTAATATTCAAATGACGAATATGTTACTAAAGTCGTGGTGGTACAAAATGTAGGTTTGCGGCAATTTGATGTAGTACTTGTACATAAAAAATTTGGAAATTCAAAATAAATATTTTTAAACGCAATCAAAACAGTCAAGTTGTCGCAAATAAAAATTCAGTTATTCTCCACATTGTTATTGTCCAGCAATATTAATTGTCTCGCATTGAAATATTAATAGCGATCATTTTTGAGTGTGAGATTTATGTTTAAAACTGTTCTTTTGGATAAATAAATGGTCAAATTACTTAATTTCAGTGTATATTTTTTTACCTATTTCTATATAATTAGAGAGGCATGCAAACTGTTATGAATCATCTTATGAGCTCTACAACGAAGTCCGATATTTGATTAGAGAATTTAAACAAATTACACACAAACATTTTGGATGAAAAACAACACATTATTAACGACGAGAAAAGGATTGCGGAGATATGGAGAAAATACTGTTCAACGACTGTATACAGATACAAATCACAAAGAGTTCACTCCAGAAAGATAACCCAACATTTTAAGGTTGATCTTCACCCTCAATTAATTTGTTTCTGATCCTAGAGATGGCTCTGCTGCGGCATGCTGTTATGATAACATTTTCAAATTAATTGTAGGTTTCTAAATGATGACTCATATGATCATACGTAATATTTTCAAACCCTAACATAAATTACAGTTCTCTATAATTATATCCAGGCTGAGTTGCCAAGTTGTGTAGACAGTAATTTTATCAAATACACTTAACCATTTAATGCTAATAACTTTATTACTAGTAGACCAAATAAGCGAAGATATATTTAGCATCTTCATGTATAATAGTTTACTGCTCTGCTTTGTCAATCGGAATATAATATTTTAAATAAACAAAGCTACGCATTTGCAGGAACATTTGCTATAAGAAAAATAAGGTCCATCCACCCATATCATTGAGAAATGATTGTCTTTTAAAAGACTCCTTTGTCAATTTATAGTTATGACCTCTTAGTCTAGTATCTTCGTTAATATTAAAAAAGTTTAATGTTCCCAAAAATCCTCCATAAGAATTCTATAAGTAGATAAATGACATCACCTCTTTCTCGTCTATAAGTTAATGGAGACAACTTGAGCTTTCTTGGTCGGATTTCATAGTTTAATCTTCCATTATTAAAAGGTACCTTAGCAGCTATGAGATGGAAAGAAATATGGATGTAGAACAAGAATACAACAACCTCAAAACGATAATAAAAAAAATTGCTTATGGAGTATTAGGAACAGAACAACGACAAAAACACCATGGATGACACAAAACGTAAAAGAAATGATACAAGAAAAAAACAAAATATATAAGAAATGGCTAACAAATAAAACATCTACCAATAGAGCAACATATCAAAGGAAAAACGGAGAAGTACGCAATCAAATAAAAAAAAAACAAAAAACAATTTCTGGGAACAAAAATGTCTCAAAGTTGAAAATTTAATTGGTGGTTCTCATACTACGGAAGCATGGAGACCTATCACTAATCTAAAGAAAAACACCCATAATTCCTTAAGCAAGTTAATTCCTATAGAAAAGTGGGAAAATCACTATAAAAATTTACTCCAAGAGTTCAGATTGGAATATATGGGAGAGGAATACAGTATGGAGAGACAAATAAATAGTAACATTAATACTACTAACAACGAGGTCCATACTGCGTTAATTAAAATAAAAAACCGGCGATCTCCAGGACCTGGCAATATAGCTGTAGAGTTACTTAAAGCAGGAGGTCCACTCTTAATAGAACTTTTCTACTGAATCAATGCTGCCAACAAATTAAAGTTCCATCTGAATGGAAAACCGCTCACCAAGTGTCCATCTTTAAAAAGGGTAATCGAAAAGATCCTAACTGCTACAGAGGATTAAGTATCCTACCTACTTTCGGGAGATTGTTTAGAAAGATAATAAATGGAAAAATACAAGATGATGTAGAAATAATTTAATAGAAAAAATAATAGCGGTTGGTACCGAAGTACATCTAGCCTTCATCGACCTAGAAAAGGCGTATGATACAGTTCCAAGACTTAAACTGTGGCAAGCTTTACAATAACTTGACATTAGTCAATACCTTTTAGAAATAATCACAGAAGTATACAGGGATAACACTACTTACCTAAAAATCGGAAATAGACTATCAGAGCCAATAAAAGTAACTAAAGGACTAAGACAAGGATGCAGTATGTCACCCTTACTGTTTAATTTATATATTTAGGCAGCCCTCCTAAATTGGAAAAACCACTCCCAGGGAATGGGAATCCCCATAGGAAATGACGTACTGTTCTCCCTGAACTTTTCGGATGACCAAGTCGTCCTGACTCAAGATTCTTATGATCTAGAATTTATGATAAAGCGTCTATACAGAGAATATGCAAAATGGGGATTACAAGTCAGCATGAAGAAAACAGAATATTTAGTTACCACTACAGATGCAACGTTTGGAGTCTTGATAGACGAGGACGTGGAAATCAAACAAGTGGAAAAACTCATTTTGGTGGGATCGCAACATTTCCAAAAGGAACAAAATAAGAATGGGGCAAACCATGGTTGAATCAGTTTTTTGTTATGGATCTAAAGTATGGACAATTAATGCAGACCTGAAGAGAAGATATTGGCAGTTGAAATGGATTATTTGAGAAGTGCTAGAACATCAAGACTGGAAAGAAAGAGCAACGAATCTATAAGAAATAATATGAATGCTACAGAAACGGTCATTGACAGAATAGGAAGAAGACACCTATTGAGAATGCCTGACGAACGTTAGCCCCAAAAACTTCACAGATGAAAGCCCCCTGGGAGAAGAAAAAGAGGTAGACCTAGACGCTCATGGAATGAAGGAATTAGAAAAGCGATGGAATCGAGAGGTTTGGTCCCGGTCCAAGGAGCATGCCTTGGACCGGGAGGATTGGCGGAGAAGAACGGGAATACGGCGATAGCCTTCACCAAAATGTATTATATTTACAAGTTGGATCCTGTAATATATAGCTTAGTAGCTCTTGTACTCCTAATAAATTAATGTCTCTGTGCAAATGAGGTATTTTATATTATTTTACGTACTGGACTTGGCGACTGGAATATCGTATAACTAATCCAAGTCTGTGGGATAAAAGGAAGCGTAGTGCAAAAATGTTAATAATAGTATCGTATAAAGAGGGCTTTGCCATTAATCCATTTAAAAAGCGTTTCTCAATCGAAATTAAAGGAAGTTACAACATTCCACCTTGCAATTGGATATTTATTTGGCACGTTTTAATCCGCTTCATTGCTGAAAAACTTCTTTCAACGGACGCACTTCTAGCCGGAATTGTTAAAAATAGGTTTGCAAATTTAAAAGCTTCCGGAAATGCATTATCAAGCTCTGAAAACTAAGTCTGGCAGTTAGGGTGTCAGAAGCCAACTGACATGATATCGTTCTCTGAGCTTTAGCTGTCAGCAACCAGCATTACAGATGTTTAGTATAATGTTCTTTTAACATGCCTACCAAATTTTATTCTATTCAGAATATTGCCGGCGTTACATTGATCGCATATGTTTACCATGACCGCGCTATGGGTGTAGTTGGCAATGAACTAGTTAAATACTAGTCTAGTGTAGTTTTACTTGTATATAGAGGTTCGGAAGTTTATAAGATATACCTTCTAGTACGATTACTATTATTTTTGGTTATTATTATTTTCAGAAGATTGGTAATAGGTCAAGTCTAGATATTAGAACACTATGTCGATTAAAAAATTGCTTTAATTACAAATATTTACTAATTTTCTTATATTATCAGTCAAATTACAAAACAAACTTTATTTTTTCTCATCAATAGGCTTAAAGTGATTTAGTAAATTTACGGTCCAATCTCCTTCAACCCCTTTTGTAAATTCTCTGATAAATCTATAGTTGCAAATCGAAATTCTTTGTTGATATTCAGGTAGCATTCCCATATTTAAGGGAGGTTCTTCACCTCTAGATCTCATACCGGACAAACCTTTCAAAGAATGATAAACCATGGTTATTTCAACGAACCTTTTTTGTTCTTTGCCCTCTTCTTCGTTAAATATAACACCAACCTATAAAAATAAAACCAAACTTTAAAATAGTTAATTAAATAAATATATACGTGATAAAAGTATGAGGTTTATGTAACTCACTTTGGGTAGTGAATAGACGGGATAAAGAGATATTCATCGTTCTCAACGCAAGGAATAGGAGGGATAGAGATGTGCGGTCGTAGCCCATACACTAACAGGGCCAATACATTTTAATGAGGTTTTTATTGCGTGCACTACCATAGATGGGATTGGTCAAAAACTATGACAGCGTGAGTAGTGGCTGAATATAAAAACATCGGACGTCTTTTTTAATACTATTTCTATATATTTTAGTTAAAAACGTTTTTAAACAAATGTTATACCATGAGGTCCATATGTATGGAATTAATTCATGTTTAGCGTTATTATGTACTATGTGAAAATAAATGAAACAGGTCGATTTTTATTCTTAATTTCGATTTTAGTCCTCTGTTCAGCAATATAAAGTTGTTTGAGTTTGTGCAATCATAACTGAGAAAATTGATTTTTACAATTAAATTAAATGTTCAACTTGGCCACTATTGTTCACTTCTTGACAATAACCGAGGCGATTTTGGAATTCTCGTACAATATTTTGTATGAACTCGGGGATTATTTTGTTAATTTCTTCCGTTATCCCAACGTTTAAATCAGCAATATTGCCTGGTCTATTAAAATATACTTTAGAAATAATCAGGTATTTTCGTATCTGTTCTGCTAAACATTAGAGAAAAAACTTTGAAGATAATAAAATATTAATCAAAAAGCCAAATAAACAATTGATATGAATCTAGTAGGCTGCTGTCATTTAGGTATTTAAAGTTACTAAAAGATGTCAGTATAATATGTGTACGAGTATTAAATTTAATTATGACTCATTTGTCCGAGACTCAAAGAATAAACATTTTCATTATGATTGGTTGTGGTAATAAAACAAGAACTCAAAAGGAGGTTTGTGAAATGTTTAATAATAAATAACCTGTTCAACAAGTCTCGCAGTCTACAGTTAGCAAAATTGAAAAGAAGTTTCGTTATACTAGACATGTAAAAAATATGTTAAATTAACCGATGGAAAAAAGTTCAATGTACTTCTAGAGATTGAGGAAAATCCGCATAAGACAACTCGAGAACTTGCCGCTGTCAATGATGTAAGTAAATCATCTACTTTAAGAGTTTTGCATAAATGAAGATGATCTTGATAGGAGACAAGAATTCTTGTGAATTTGCAGTTCATAAACAAAATAGTTTTTTTCTGAGGAAGCGGCGTTTCATTTAAACGGAACGGTTAACAAACAGAACTGTAGATATTGGAGCAGAGAAAATCCTCACTAGGTTTGTGAGATTCACATGCAATATCCTAAAAAAGTTAACGTTTGGTCTGGTATCATTAACAATACAATTATTGGTCCTTACTTTTTTGAAGGCACAGTTGATGGTGAGGTTTACCTAGATTTTTTGATGCTGACATTTTGCACGTATAATTAGAAATTATTTAAACGAAGTTTTTCCCAATAGGTGGATTGGAAGACGTAGAACGATCGAATGGCCGTCTAGATCGACCGATTTGACTCCTCTCGATTACTTATTATGAGGTTATTTAAAATCTAAAGTATATTTTAATAGATCAAACAGAATTGCTAATTTTAAGGTAGGATAACGAAAGAAATTAACAAAATAACCCCCGAGGTCGTAAAAAATATTGTACGAGGATTCCAAAATCACCTTGGTTATTATCAAGTAGTGAATGGTGGTCATTTTGAATATTTAATTTAATTGTAAAGTAAACTGAAAAACACATTCTAAATATTATGTGACATTATTATCTTCATTGAACCTAAAGTTTTGTGATAAAGTTCTCAGTTATGATTGCAGCACCAAACTTAAAAAACTTTATATTTCTGAACAGAGGACTAAAATCCCTTTATCACAAGGTGCCATCCGACCTGCTTTGTCATTTAAAATTTTCGAGGGGGTGCTTATAATTCAAAGAAGGTGCTAGAGAGTGCAAAATTTAAGAATGAAAATCAACCTATTTCAGGTTTTCTTCACATAGTACATAATAACGCTAAAAATGAATTTATTCCATACATATGGACCGCATGGTATAAGAAGGGGAAGGTGACAAGTTATGGCCCCTTATTCTTTTTCGAGAAAACTTGAAAACTAGTCGAAAAAAAAAGCAAGCTTTGGTAAAAAATGCAGAGGCTGTCATAGGCACATGTTATCTAAATGATGACTCCCCTTTAAAAATCGGGTTTTATAAGTAAAATTACTTAAAATTTTTCAATTAAAACATAGTTAAAAAAGCTTATATTTACCAAATATTTTCTTTTATAATAAAAAAAGGAGAAAATAGAAATGCCTTTTTGGTTGACAACATCACAAATAAAAATCTTTGTTGACTTAGTAACATCAGCACATTCCGAGTGACACCAGCTGTTGCAGTTCTGGTACTTTAGCCAGTATTCGTTATTACAAGAATGATAGTACAGTTCATTGCAGTACAGACATGCTGTATCTGATTCATCACTATCGTTCTGTTCATACATAACTTCCTCAGGACTATCTTCTTTTATTAGTATATCAATTTTTCTTTTTTCTTCTCTCTCTTTTTAATACTTCTATTTTGGTTTATTGTATATCTGGGATACTGTTAATAACACCTGTCTTTCCACGTTTTCTTTTCCGTTCGTTATTATTGTTGCCTTCGGAAGAGGGGACAATTCTTCAATTTGCTCTCTGCGTAAGTGATGTTTGGATGTACTTGAAATTTGGTCATTTGTATTTCTCTGGGAAGTATGTAAGATGGTTTTAATGGGATTATTGCTAACATCCTGGCTTACATTTAAGATAGGATCCTCGATTTCATTTTGCGGTTCTTCTTTGCTATTTGAATTTATGTGTTCTGATTTATTAGATATGTTTTATCTAATTCCTTTATCTGTTGTTGAAGCAGCAGAAAATTCCCAGTCTCTTAAAACATCTGGATTAAATGGTTGTATTCCAGTTTTCTTAATACATTTGATGTAGTAGCATCCTTGAGATATGCTTTATTAAAAAGTTTTGACACTTAAAAGTTAGTGACAGTCTGTCCTGGTTTATCTCTCAACCATTTTTGTATTTCCATATTATAAAAAGATTTTAGTGCTGCAAAAAGCCAACATCAAGGTATTTAATGCAATGGGAACAATGTGACAGAAAACAAAATAGAATAATTTCATTTTATTTACTATATTCCAGTACTTCCAACCCCTTGTGACTACTATGTCCATCAAGAATTAATAGGACTTCATTTTAGTCTGATGCAATGTGCAAGACAAAATGTTATAGCCACTTGACAAATGTTTCTGTATTCATCCAGCCATTGTTTTGTCATTGTATAATTTTGTCCACTTCAGCGATGCTAATAATTCCAATTTGTTTTTTTCCTTTGGTTGCAAGAATTTTGAGAGGCTTTGTAGGAACTGTGCTCATACCAGTCTCGTCTACATTGTAGATATTTTCAGGAGAAAACTGATATGTTTTCATAACTTCTGAAATAGAACTGAAAAACATCTGTTTTTTTTTATTGAAAGCTTGTGCTCTTGCGATAGATGTCTGTTCATGAGTTCAAACAGTTATCTTTGGGTTCCTTGCTAGAAACCCTTTCAGCCACTTTTTACCAGAAATAGTTGGTTAATTGTATGTATCTCCGCTAATTGAAAAACATGCTTTCTTAATTCTGTATTAGTAATGCCAAAAAGTCTGGTTTCTAAATTAACAACACGCTTTGCTATTTCGGCTTCAACATCGTCATCAAATGGAGGCTTCTGTCCACCTAAATATCCTTTGATACTGCCTTGTTAATTTCTAAACCTTCTACGCAGTGTAGTTTAAGGTACTTTAAAGATTTTTACTGTTGTTGTAAAACCCATTGTTTTATTTCTTAATACTTCTAAGGCTTAAGACAATATCAGGTTTCTGGTATATCAGGTTTCTGGTCGTCAAAACAATGGTTTTTCTAAAAACCAAAACTATTTAACGTGGAGTCAAACCCGGAAAACAACTGAAATCATATATATAATATATATATATATATATATATATATATATATATATATATATATATATATCTTTAACTAAGGTTATATCTTATATAATATATTTATATAATAATTAATATATATCTTTAACTAACCTGATATGGAAATGAAAAATATATGTCATCTACACTAGTTGCTATCTGCTCTCTTTGACTCATGGACATCATAGATATTGCTTTTTGTAGACTAGAGATAATGTCATTTGTTACTAGACCTTCTAATGACTTAATATCACCTTCAGATAGTTTCTGTGATACTACCTAAAAGAGTATAATTAGTGATTGTATGATTAGTTATGCATATTATCCTTCAAAGAGGTTCATTTGAAACCCATGGGAAACCCAAGATAATTGATTTTTGGCATGAATTTTTCTCTGTGTATGTCTTTGTATATATGTATGTACAATTTTCGAAATAAAGATTACTACTACTACAATCCATGGAAGTCAACCAATTCCTAGTAAATAATAGCTTGTAACCACAGTATCTCAAAAACTTGTTTAGTAATGCTTCAAGATTTTAAATATGTATTTACTAGGATGGTGACCATACAGAAGAAATATAATTAAGGACTACCAATTAAATAGTAGAGAAAAATAAATCCCTAAAATAAAGTAAAATAAAACCTAATCTACACATTGCTCTAGGTAACGGTGTTGTGTGAAACAAAAGTCATTTTAGCATCAAAAACAACACATGTCAGTCGCCTCAGTAATTGTAGGTGTTAATCATTATTTACATAGCTGGGGCCAATGGGCTTACAAGCCCTCCTAAGCACAATAGCAGCTCAGTTAAAAAAACTGCGAGGATCATTTTAGTAAGTGTTACTAGATCCTAATGAAACCGATAAGCAGACAAGCTATTCTTCAGAGGCAATTTCTATATTGAAGAAAATCATTAAAACAAGTGACAAGAGGCTTTAGGTTGTTTTAATAGATCCTCAATTAGAGTTGAAGATAATAATTGGATACTGTCAACTAGGGAAACACCTTTTCAACATATGTGGGATAAATAAACTCTAGTATATGATTTGTAAAATGGAGGAAGAAATTCTACAAAAGTATTCCTTTTTATTTTATTTAAAATTTTTTAATTTTCATTTGCTCTCTCCATTTCTATGTGTGCTTTAAACATGTGTATTCTTGTATCTTTTTCTATGTGTTTTTATATGCAATATGTTTACAACTTTAAAATAGAATATATTGCAAATATCATTATTACTGTTGCAAGTCTTAGGTCAGATTTACCTTACACTCAAATTAATAATAATTCTACAATCTTAACTATGACATCTGCATAATTGTAGATTAAACTTTATTTTTTAATAATAATGGAGCTCACTAGAAGATATTAAAAATTTGTTTAAAATATTTTCATAAACAACAAATTATAGTAAAAGATATGGTTTATTTCATATTAGTTTATGCAAATCATTTATCATTGTTACACATATAAAACTGATCATCTTGAATATATGTTTAGTTTGCTCCTAAATTTGAACTAGGTACATTGCATTATAAAAAGGAAAATAAAAAGTTCACAATTCCCTATTAGATAAGGTAATAGTATTTGAGTTTTCCTTATCTGGATATTTTCAGGATCACCTAACAAAATGCAATTAAAATAACAGTAAGCCTAAGTAAAAACAAATATGAAGGAACTTGGCAGTGATTGAGGTAACTCATTTCAGAAAACCATATTTTTTATTACATTATTATCATACCATATTATGAAGTTATTATAAAGACAGCCATATATTTGATTTTGTGACCATAAGATTTAGTCAACAATTTGAAATTAAGTAAATATAAAATATTTCTAGTCAACAATGTTCAAAAACTATTTCCTTAAACTAGAATAAACAATTTTCTAGTGTACATACCTCCACTGCTTTCTTAGAAGCACTTACAAAATCTGGAAGATTAAATTCTTGATCTAAATAGGGCTTAATGATAAAGGTAGCAAGAATAAAATTTCTGATAGTTTTAAATAAAGAAGGCCAAACAAATATGGGAGAGTCGGGCAGTAGTGGAGGTAATTTGTTTGAGGGAGAACTTGGATCATCTGAATACCATCTTCTTTGATTAAGGCCTGAATTTGAGTGTTTGTTATTTAAAAAATATGAAGACTGCTTAGTACAAAAACTTGCATGTTTACACAAGAAATGATTTGTTATTGAACGATTAAATTTACCCAAATTTAAATTACTGTAATTTCGCACATTTCTAAACAAAACGTTAATATTCATTTTATCATTTTAATATAAATCAACAAAGTCAAAAGTACTAAAATATCCTATCCTATAATTTTAGATTCTGGTTTGACATTTGACATTTACATTTACATATGATATGATGTCATCTGTCATTCCCTAATTATAATACATGCATTACTACACGTCTTTATCATTCCTTTTATCCTTTTATCATCTTTCTTTATCATCAACGTCAACGCCACAGTAGTCGTTCTGTCATGGTTCTGTCAGTGTCATTTAGTGTTAATATAGAACTCGTCATGTGAAGTTCGAAAGTGTATGTGTTATAAACATTAAAATATAAAATCAAAAAGAAATTTCCTGCAAAAAACCATTTTTGTATTAATGGTTTATTTATAGGAAGGTAAGCAAATTTACTTATCAACTTTCTATTGAATAATCTGTGAGTTTGACTTTTAATGTTTTTCCCATTTATAAACAAAACAATAATTATATGTGTGTACATGTAAATTATTGTATGATAGTGGGAGGCCAGGAAAGGTGTTGTTATTGATTACTTTTGTTATATTCAGTTTTTTTACAATATTCATATACAAGAAATAGTGTGTATTATGTTTAAAATTAGGTATAGAAACAATGTTGTTAATGGAAATAGTAAGGAGAAAAAAATTTTATTAAAAGTTTGAATAAACAAAATATGTTACCCTATTTGATTAACTTAAATAAAATTAATGGGTAAACACATGAGTAATAAATATGTTCTGTGTGTGTTACCACAGTATAGACCTTACTCTCTGATTTCCCAAAGTTGGTTATCCTAAAGTTTACAATCATACCCTACTATATTTCTAAACTAGGTACTCTGCATTAAAGGTATACTTTTATTGGTGATCTTCAATATTTATAAGTAAATATAAATGAATATGGGTCTACTATTCTTACATAGGTCACCAAAAACAACAATTCAGACATCATGAAGATAATTTATTAGGTGCAGAAAATCAATACAATGTTAAGCTTAATACAAAAGTTGTTCCTACTTCGATTATTTTATTGTTAGAATCTCAAAAATTAAAAGCACAGAAAAAGGACATGAAAAATAAAATTTGGTAATAAATTTATAAAGTTCCAATTTACCCATTTAGTACCTCTCAAATCAAACTAACTATTAGTTAAATAAGTGAAAAAGACAGCAAATATTTGATTTCACGCAAACAGCGCCTTTGTATCTGTTGATACGTATTTCGACCTAATAGGTCTCATCAGAACAGTTATTCAAAGGTGTTCTCAACGTGAAAGATCAATATTTTCTGTCTTTTAAGAAGCAACAATAACATGGCTTCGATACGGACGCACTAGCGACATCTAATTTAACAATCGTAAAATAGTTTCGAAACACAATTCAGATTTCTGCTTTTATCTGTGCTTTCTAAAAATTGCAAAGCAAAACAGACGTTGATAAAGGTGTTAAAAGAGACGTGGGGAATCTAAAATTTGCATTCCACGACACATCTTTTCAACTAAGCAGAAATCCTTAGCGAATTGGTTTCTAGTACTCATACAGAGTAAATCCGAAAAAAAGGTGAAAAAGACAGCAAATATTTGATTTCACGCAAACAGCGCCTTTGTATCTGTTGATACGTATTTCGACCTATTAGGTCTCATCAGAACAGTTATTCAAAGGTGTTCTCAACGTGAAAGATCAATATTTTCTGTCTTTTAAGAAGCAACAATAACATGGCTTCGATACGGACGCACTAGCGACATCTAATTTAACAATCGTAAAATAGTTTCGAAACACAATTCAGATTTCTGCTTTTATCTGTGCTTTCTAAAAATTGCAAAGCAAAACAGACGTTGATAAAGGTGTTAAAAGAGACGTGGGGAATCTAAAATTTGCATTCCACGACACATCTTTTCAACTAAGCAGAAATCCTTAGCGAATTGGTTTCTAGTACTCATACAGAGTAAATCCGAAAAAAAGGTGAAAAAGACAGCAAATATTTGATTTCACGCAAACAGCGCCTTTGTATCTGTTGATACGTATTTCGACCTAATAGGTCTCATCAGAACAGTTATTCAAAGGTGTTCTCAACGTGAAAGATCAATATTTTCTGTCTCTTAAGAAGCAACAATAACATGGCTTCGATACGGACGCACTAGCGACATCTAATTTAACAATCGTAAAATAGTTTCGAAACACAATTCAGATTTCTGCTTTTATCTGTGCTTTCTAAAAATTGCAAAGCAAAACAGACGTTGATAAAGGTGTTAAAAGAGACGTGGGGAATCTAAAATTTGCATTCCACGACACATCTTTTCAACTAAGCAGAAATCCTTAGCGAATTGGTTTCTAGTACTCGTACAGAGTAAATCCGAAAAAAAGTGAAAAAGACAGCAAATATTTGATTTCACGCAAACAGCGCCTTTGTATCTGTTGATACGTATTTCGACCTAATAGGTCTCATCAGAACAGTTATTCAAAGGTGTTCTCAACGTGAAAGATCAATATTTTCTGTCTTTTAAGAAGCAACAATAACATGGCTTCGATACGGACGAAGATTACGATTTTACGATTGTTAAATTAGATGTCGCTAGTGCGTCCGTATCGAAGCCATGTTATTGTTGCTTCTTAAAAGACAGAAAATATTGATCTTTCACGTTGAGAACACCTTTGAATAACTGTTCTGATGAGACCTATTAGGTCGAAATACGTATCAACAGATACAAAGGCGCTGTTTGCGTGAAATCAAATATTTGCTGTCTTTTTCACTTTTTTTCGGATTTACTCTGTACGAGTACTAGAAACCAATTCGCTAAGGATTTCTGCTTAGTTGAAAAGATGTGTCGTGGAATGCAAATTTTAGATTCCCCACGTCTCTTTTAACACCTTTATCAACGTCTGTTTTGCTTTGCAATTTTTAGAAAGCACAGATAAAAGCAGAAATCTGAATTGTGTTTCGAAACTATTTTACGATTGTTGTATTAGTTAAATATTTATATGAGATTGATTGTAATGAGCCATTTTACATTTGTGTTGACATTTCAGTCCAAAAATTCTTTTCTATCATATCAAATAAATCATGTCCCAATTTGGCATTTCTTATCTCTGCTTTCAGTTTACCATGAAACAAAATACAATTATTTGAATCTTCTCTTTTGTGTTTTTGTATTAGTACCATAAGCAAAATAGTCATTCTACATATTGGAAGGTTAAATAATATGATCAGCACATCAAGTTAGAGTCTAGATTCTAACTCGATGGACCAGCACTATTACAAACTTAATTTCTATGACAACCAGTGTTTGTTGGTTATTTCAGTCACTAATATAAATAGTGGTGGTGGCAGATGATTGGTTTTTATATAGTAATATCTATGAAGGCAGGTAGTTTTATGAATACAGTTTGTTAATAAATAAACCAATACAATAGAGTATCCAATCATGTAGTATAAGACTATGGAGAGAAGAAGACCAACTGACTCCAAACTTCATAGGGTTCTTCCATGGACTAAGATGAAACTATATCCTAAGTTTCAAGATTATGAATCTTGAAGGATTTATTGACCACAAATCAAATTAAAGACCTTTTTGTTTAAGAAAAAGAAAAGTGAATATGAGAATAAGAAGAAGAAGACCAGGATCTCAAATTCAGTAGGGTTTCTGCATTACATTAACTTATGCTTGTGAAGGCCTTAGCTCAGTGGCAGGCATATAACTGCTCCAGCTACATAAGTAATTGTTTACAATAAAACATGAGCCAGAAGGCTATACCAGTGCAAGATGTACAATAAGATTATTTTTATAACAAAAAATGACTTTTGCAAAAAAACCTATGTAACTTTCAACCTAGGTTACAGTTTCAGATTTGGAAATGTTTTATTACTGAAAAATACAGCTCCCTATAATAAAGAACAAAACATTGTTTAGTCCATGAACACTTGGTTGTTTGGAAGGGGTGGGATTGAACAACCAATTGATAAAAATAACATTTTTTTCGTTTCAGTTACAATAAATAACAAAAAAAAATTGATTTTAACTCATAAGTAATGACTATCATAAACCATTAAGGAAGAGATCAAAAGATCATTTTAATAAAACACAACATTTAATAAATAGGAAAAGCTCTTCATTCTACAATCAATAAATATAAATTATATTAGCTTGTACATATTAACATGCTTTGAGGCCAATATTTAAATTCCAACACAGGATTATATGTAAACTTACATGCAACCTTTGCATGTCTAACTATTTCCATTCAACCTAAACCTCTAAGGAGCTCCTACAATTTCTTTCCTTTTTAGTCTTTCTTTTAGAACCATTTCATTCAGAATTCTCATAATACTGAGCATCACTCCATAAAAAATAACATAACATAACTTTTATCTCCCCCTCAATACACAAAGCACACAGTTTACTATTATCAGGCCTATCATTAAGTTGCTGCACTATATCTAATATTAAATTTCCATGTTGTATCATTAAAACACACTTGATTACACATTTAACCCTTATCAACCCCAGTGTAATCATACTACTATAGTGATTACAAAAAAGTTATTCATCTGTCTTCTCCAATTCTCTTTGCCATATTTGAGCACAGATCAATCCATTTACTTGTTCTAGGTTATCCAGCCAAGAATTAGCTCTTATCATTCCTTGGAAGAGACATTATAGTAGGTGTCCTTCCTCATACTCTAGCACTTTTTTGAGATGATTATTGAATTTTATTATAAATAGTTTTTATAGTTTTTAAAAATTATACATAAGAGAATAAATAGAAAGTGTGAAGAACACATGACATACACTTAATTTGGGTTCAGAGATGCATCAGGTACTCAAGAGGCACTTTTTGCAGTATAAGTTCTATTTTAACAATGTATAAAACTTTGAACATGATGAATTGATAAAAATCATAAAATTACTTGGTCTAGACAACAGAGTCTACCATATAATAAGCAACACCTAGTAAGAAGTGGATGGGTGAATTGCAGCTGTTTGGGTTGGGGCTTATTTAATAGACAACATAAAGATAAAAAGAGGTGTGCAATGGGGTCATATATACTGTC